AATAGTAATAGTAATAGTAATAGTAAGGGTAGTAGCAGTAGCGGTATCTAGTAGTAGCGATACTAATTTTTCAGCAGTTGTAAAGAAAAAAAAAGAAAGGCGTGTTGGTAGTAGTAGCGGTAATAATGTGGCGATGTCGCGTTGGTACGATCGGTTGTGTCCCTAACAACGAGATTGACGCTGGCCAAGGCCCTGAGCCTGCTAAGGCGGAAGGAAGAATCCAAAGGGCATAACGCAGTCCTTGGGCATGAAGCAGTCGTGGACCGTCTTCATGTGATTCTTCATCTTGTCCGGTCTTGAGAATTCCTTTCCACATACCGGGCATGGGAAGACCTTGCGCTGATGTCCCTCGTGGTAGAGAAACGCGTGTCGCTGGAAGGAATACTTATTCTTGAATGTCTTCTGGATATCAAGTTTGGCGCACTCGGTGCACTGATAGACGCCCTCGGATATCGAGGCATAGCGAAATAGGTTGAGTCCACGGACGGACATCTCCGTAAGCTGTTCTGCCGGATCTTGCGATTGGGAATTGGTGCGCCTGCGCATGCGCCGTTTAGCTACTTGCCGGCCACTTGGGGCACCCATTGTGCCGCCGCTGCCGCCACCATTGCCACCATTGCCACTCTGATTCGAGCTTCCGGTACCGCCGGCACTATTTTGCGAGGCTCTCGCGGTCGGCGTCGAATTCGTCGTGGTGGTCGTCGACGTGCTCGTTACGCTCGTTGTCGTCGTCGTCGTCGTCGTCGTCGTGCCGGACGCCGACAACCTCGTCGAGGTGGACGAATCGAATTGGCCCGCCGACGAAGGACCCGTTGAGCTGGATGAGCTGGATGAGGCAGCGAGACCCAATTTCAATTGATCCTTGCTCTCAGCACAGTCGGACTTGCTCGATGTCGACGTGAACTCTGCGAAAAGAGATGAGGCTTCACTCAATTAAGCTTGTCATAACTCACATAGCCGTCTCTACTGGAACAAAGTGTCGAGAAATTTACACAAGTGCACAAGAGTGCACGCATTCGCAAGCACTCTTTTTTCTTTTTTCGTTTTTTCTTTTTTTCTTTCTCTCAAAGTGCAATCAAAGACACGTCAACGTACACAGCAACTAGTTTCTTCTACGAATGAGACTACTACGTTATTATCGAGGCAGAGACTACCGTGCGATACGTATGGATACATGGAGAATGTATCGCATCGGAAAAAACGTTCATGCTTCTAAAAGTCTAGGTAGACGCGGTCACGAAAAAAAAAAAATATATATATATATATATATATAGTTGAATTTTATATCGTATGCACAAAGGCGAAATCTAAAAAACGGGAAAGATAGTACATACAAGGATCGAGGGATGCGCAAGGAACGTGGGGGGGGCATGGAGTGTCAAATACGTTTGGTGTGCATTAAGAACGAAAGGTGTTGCCATCTCAAAAGAAAACAACGTCAAATTATAGCATTCTTTTAATTGCGTGAGGTCGTAAGTGTAATAATTGTGCGTGTGTGTCTCTGTCTCTTAGTATGCGCATGCGTATGTGCAACCGCACTAGAGACGCGTGTGTGGATATGTGTGGGCGTGCGTATCAACAAAAAAATATAATGGATAAGGCTGCATACAATATACCATAGCACAATAGCCCATCTACAAAAAAAAAAAAAACAAAAAAAAAGAAAAAGGAAAAATATACCATACGCAATGTAACATCGAGCCAACGATGATCGTCGGGCAACTATTGGTCGTCATGTGAACTTAAAAGACTAAAAACGTAGAATCGTTCGTCGGCGCATTCGAAACCAGTTTGAATTTTCGAATTTAAAGAAATGGTAGCGACGCAGCGGGACGCCGCCGAGGGCCTACGAGACTCCATCGTTAAATTTAACTATTTAACTGTCAATAGAAGTCTCTGAGAAATTGACATTGACCAGTCACGTAACCCTCGGCGACGTTACGCTTTTATTTTCCCTTTGTCGATACTCAAGTTACGCTGTCCTTGGAAAAATGAGGATAACCGAACGATTTTTCAGATGGCTACGTAAACGGGGGAAAAGATAAAGAAAACAAGGAATAACATTGAAACGGATAAAAAGAAAAAAACGGGAGACCTTATTATGTTGGCAACATTTCTTTAAAACAATCATAATCACTATAATAGATTTTTAATCGGATACATTAAACGAGACTCGAAGATTACTTTCCGAAGGATTTGTACTGGCCTGAACGACGGTGGTATCGCCATTACGCGTCACTCCGTTACATAATATTACACAAAGTAATCAGATAAGAGATAAGGATAAAAAAGACAGAACAGGTAGAGAAAATTTAAAGGCAGTAAAGGAGTAGGAGAAGAAGAAAAGACGAGATAAGAAAAAGAAAGAAAAAAGAAAAGAAGAAAAGAAGAAAAAAGTCATAGCTCGCAGGCCTTTGTACTATATAATGAGAACATTTTGTATCGTTTGTGGTCGTAGAATAAAAAGAGTTTCTCCCGCATTCGCGCAACGTCTCGATTATCGTTAAACAATTGCGATTTGTCCTGGAAATAATCTTCGAAGTTTCGCGCTCGACGTGGCTCGCGAAGCAACAACCAACCAATAACAGTTAATGTAATAGCGTAATTAGAGTATAACAATATAATGATAAATGTATCGTAATAAATCGTAATAGCGTCTCTCGACGGATGGGAGGGAAAATCGGAAATCGGAAATCGGAAATCGGAAAAAGGAAAAAGGAAAGAGGAAAAAGAGAGGAAGAGAAGGAAAGCAAATGTATAGGAGGGGAATGAGAATGGACGTATTCGCGCCCTGACAAAGGATCAACGAAAAACAACTGAAAGACGATATAAATGCAACGAATAAACCACATTACATCCTACATATGTATAATGTATATTCGTACGCTTACTATGTACGTATCATATACGATACTCTCCGTGTCCTATCGCGTATACTATACGTGTGTGTTACGCTCAAGACACAAAAAGATAAAATGCAAGAGAAAAATAAAGAGAAACGTTACAATCGAATAAATGAAGAATGCGCGCATCTATATAGTTACGTATACCCAACATGCAAAAAAGAAGGAAAAAAATGAATTGCACACTGGATAACGAGATACTCTAGAGTGCTGCAGGGTGAATATAAGTAGGTATAATAGCAAAGAATCAAATTATATTAATTAAAAACACAATAGTCTCGATAAGATACGAGAAGCGACCGAGCGACGAGAAGGAGCTTCATCGAGAAGATGGAAAGTAAGGTTGAAGTGGTGCCTGCTCGATCTCTCGATCTCTCGATCTCTCGATCTCTCGATCTCTCGATCTCTCGCTCGATCGTTCGCTGCGAGCAAAAATCTAAAAGCTTAAGGACTACGACGACGCCGTGTTCAGCCTTAAAGGTGCCAACGGCGATTAAATTAAAACTTAAATAAAAATTAATTTTTGGCTAAGATTTAACGGTGTCTCGCAATAACGAGGACTCTGCCTTTTATTCTTTTCCACACGTTGTACAATGCGTGAACGCACAGATGCGTATATGTGTCCATATTGAAAGATCGGAAAGACGTTAAAAAGAAAAAGAGACAACAGATCAAGAAACATGGAAAGTGGAGTCCTCGTATTTTCAAGCTTCCTTCTCACGCTCTCTCTCTCTCTCTCTCTCTCTCTCTCTCTCTCTCTCTCTCTCTCTCTCTCTCTCTCTCTCTCTCTCTCTCTCTCTCTCTCTCTCTCTCTCTCTCTCTCTCTCTCTCTCTCTCTCTCTCTCTCTCTCTCTCTCTCTCTCTCTCTCGCTCATAAAATATAATTGAAAAAGAATGCATAGGTGTACATACATACATGATGTGACGTTTTAACGGAGAGGACAAAATTAACATTCATAACAAACAGATAGGTCTCTACGAAAGTAATGTACGGGTGCGCGCGATCGCGAAACCGAAACTCTCCAGGTACGTTTTGCAGTAGGAGGAAAAGAGAGAGGTATATTTCCTTACTTTCTCCTCGATCCAATCTTCGGACGCGCCTCTGCTCCCCCAGCCTCTCTCTTTCTCTCTCGGATCTTAAATTTAATCGCGCGCATGTACCGAACGTGGACAGTTCCGTTTCCTCGATCCCTTCTATCTAATTGTAAGCTACGCAAACGTGAATAGGTGAAAAATGAAAAAAAGTAAAGAAAAGAGGAAAGGAGGAAAAGAAAGAGTTGCAAGTTGCAAGTTGCAAGGATCAAAAAGGGCAAATTTTAATGAAGACGGTTAGTATTATGTGGTAGTTACCTTTCCCTCGGTTTCACGTATGCGATTAATCTGAAGGAAGGAGAAGCAGTTAGAAGGTGGTGTCTTCTCGTGTTTGTTAAGGATGGATTAGTAGTCGTTGGCGACGCACACCGGAACTTATATAGCCCAAAAAAAACGTCTTTCCTCTCCGACGTTCTACTAATCAGGCATAAAGTGTGGAGCGTCAAGAAAAACACGTCATTATTTTGAGCACGTCGCTTTTTTCTTTTTTACTTGCAGTGCGCATGCGCAGGAGATACTCGGAAACACAAGCACTTTCTCCGCGCATGCGCCGATAATTTTTCGAAACGATGGACCACTTACCAATTTCTACATAAAATTGAATTACACACGTACGCACATCCCTATGCAATATTGGTGTATCGATTGGCGTGCGAATGCAGCCGCTGCCGCCTCTCGACTCTCTTTCTCCGTCTTCACCACCAGATCATCTTCTGAGATCAGTTACGGAGACACGTGTCTCCACCAGGGTGTCCTCTCTCTCTCTCTCTCTCACTCACTCACTCACTCACTCTTAGTACTGTCAAAATTAGCATTGTCGAGAGGTGTCAACCCTTGCGACTGATGCCAGATGAGAAAGAGACTCGACATGCGTGCGGAGGGATAGAGAGCGAAAGTTGCGTCGACGCATTCGCACCCAACCCACCAAACATTCGAGCACACGAGCACACAGGCACACAGGCACACAGGCACGCGCGCAAAAGACTAACAAGAATTCCTCGTAGGTTACAATCTATTGAACACCGTTCTTTTTATTATTGATAGTCGTAATCAAACAATCAGTGCATATAAAATATACTAAGTTTCTACCCAGCGTCAGAAAAGACTCTCGTCTAAAAAATTCCCTATGAAATTTTTCTTTATTCCTTTCACTTTATCTTTTGTCTCACTTATTTGGCACTAGAATGCGCGTTCGGGAACAATCGACCCTGGGCCGATTTGCGCATGCGCAATGTAAATATGCCCCGATTGCACAATGTCATAACAATTAATAAACCATTTCTTTTGTTAATTTTTGTTTTTTTTTGTTTTTTTTTTGTTTCTGTTTTTTTTTTTCATTTTCTTACTCTCGAACCTTTCTCCGTACAGCCATTTATACTCTTAACACATTAGCCATCTTCTGTGGAACGCGCATTCATTGTATTCTCACCATTTTTCTTTCGCCTTCCTTATGGTTCTTAACTTTTCATTATTATAATTCTTTTTTTAAATTTCTTTTTAATAATGATTTTCGTTTAATTGTTTTTTCTCTCTTGCCCTCACTCTTCTTCTTTGCATTAAAAAGGCACCAAACCAGGGGATTACTTAGTCAGCTATGTTTAGATCCCATCATCGAAATATGTAATTTTTCTCTTTAACTCGTATAAAATTAAAAGTCAACTTTCTCGTTTTCTGACGCGTTCATATTTAAAAACTGCAACGACGTTATAGATAATATTACCAACTAGCACTAAAATATATTCGATATAACTTTTGTTTGTATAATAATAATAATAATAATAATAATAATTGTAATAATAATAGAATATATAATATGTATGTACTTGGGTGATGCGCACGTGGTACGTACGCGTCGTTTTACTCATATAACGTGTATTATGTGTATTATGTTGTATTTATGGTGCGTTACCATACAATGCGGACCAGTAACAGTGAGTGATGAAAAATTGCATTTTTTTTCTTTTTAATATATGGACACGTACTATATACGCATATACACACCTGTCTGTCTATCTTTAAACGTGTGTTGCATTGCAGTTGTCCTGGCACGCGTTTTGTGTGTGTGTGTGTGTGTGTTGTGTGTTTTAATATATATATAACACACACATATATATATATATATATATTAAAATCTATCCAATAGTACAGTCTGCTTTTTAAGCCTCGTAATTTACCTCTCTCGGCGACCAGAGCCATTGCACGAAGCGTCATAGCCGATTGAACTTAATATCGTTATTGACTGTGTTTCCCTTTTTCAAAAGGAAAAAAGAATAATTGCTGGCCATGACACTCGGCAATAGATCGCCCTTTATAAATATATCTATAAATTTCTCCGTAGTAAACACATAAATTAATATAATATGTTCAACATGCTTTTTTGTTATGTTTTTGTTCCTCATCCAGTTCACCGCGTATGCTCTCTCTTCCGCGCATCGGTTTTCCTTCTTCCACGTATAATACGTACGCAGAGACCGATTCGGGACTAAATCGCCATCTGAACTTGACGCGTCCGTTTTATTGCCATTAGTCCCGAATAATCCTGATAATAAACACGCCGTCCCCGCAGTCGCTTCACTTACGTCACGCCTCCCTTACCGCCGGCCATATAATATATTATATTATCCTTTAACTCAGCCTCCCCTTTGCCTTGCCACCAGATATTCGACCTCAAATAGCTAGAATATTTCCTCGGACTCGGTCTTCTTTCCTGCTGCCCCCACCGCGCGCTTTTCCACCCTCCGTGGCTGAGCTTCGCTCTTGGCCGCTTCCCCCCCCCCCTTCACCCCTTTCCCCCCTTTCACGCACGGTTGCGCCTCACGAAATGGTAACGCTGATTGCGGTAACGTCTACGTCTCTCGTCCGTCGAGATTTAACTCCCTCGGAAAAGCAACCCTTCTTCTTTTACCTGCCTCACTGCCGAACGGCCGTAATCATTCAGCCATGCTGACGAGTTACGGACCAGTTGCACTTCTAATTCTCTCGATCCTTTCGAAACGATAAGGAGAAGAAGAAAAGGTTTCGAAAGCCTACGAAACATACTTTCTATTTATTACTTTGCCGTTTTCGTTTTTGTTGAACAATGGACGTAGAGGCAGGCACGTAATCTTTGAAGATCGCGTCCGAATCGCTCGAATTGCTCGCTTGCCGAATTACTGCTTTATCAACCCTTTCTCGTTTCCTCGCATCGTTTCTTCATTGATTCTCGCCCCCCTGCACCGTACAAGTGTTTATTCCACCCCGCGCCACGTCGTTCTTAACGAAAAATCACGAAACTCTCGAAAATGTTAGTCTTAGCCTCTCAATGATTATCAAATGATTTTTTTGTTTATTTGCTTAGTTCTTTGTTTCATTCATTTATGTTATTTCTTTCATTGATTATCGATAAGCTGTCTAGCCGCTGCCACTTTGACGCTAGAGTATAATTTATGTACAATACATATATATATATATATATGTACAATACATATATATATATATATATATATATATATATATATATATATATATATCATTATACTTGTGTATCTATAGATATAGATTTCTATTTCTATTTCTATTTCTATTTCTATTTCTATTACTATTACTATTTCTATGTGTAGTTGCCTCACTTCTACTATTGTTAAATTCATTATGATTGCGGATTTTAAAGACTCGAGAACGGATCGCCTAGTTTTCTCCCTCCCGCGCACGCTATCCATCTCTGACCTTTGACACGCTCGCGACGTCTTGCTGCCAACAATTACTGCCTCCGATGCTACCAACTGCTTTGAGCAACTCAGCTAAAGATTTCATCGTGTAATCGGTCGATGAATAACTCTGGTATATATTAAAATCTAAGTATATAGATGTGTGCATGTGCATGTGTGTATATATCTGCATGTATACACATATGACGATCCCAGGCTGCACGAGATTGGTAAAAGATAAGAATATCCGTCCATAAGAAATGACGAATTTCCGGATATTGCGCAGCAGCACAAGTATCACCGAAATAAAAGAGCAGAAAAATTTCCTCCCGAAAGGAGAGAAGCAAGTGCGCGTCGCTTTTGCGTCGTCCCGTTGCTTCCTGCATGCATCGTCAACTACAACGTTGAGAAACCACGTTATCTGAATGAGGCAGCCATGGTCCATTATCTTATTGTTAAGCCGGCTACACACATGCACACGCGCGGGTGCACGAGCCTAAATTCTAGTAGTTTAATAATAGCCTCTAGTCGTCCACTACGTTATCTATGTCCAACAAGTAAAAAAAGAGAAAAAACACCTTTATATAGAGTAGACCTCTCTCTCTCTCTCTCTCGCAATCTATCGGTTTCCCGTTCTAAGCTAAATTCTCTGCCACTTGGACGCATGGGAGCTCGGCCTTCCTCCCGTGTCGACCGAGGTAGCTCGTTCCCGCTGAGAATGGCCCATCCTAACGAGCGGATCACGCGGATTCCCGAGAGGACGTAACGGAGGATTATTTATTGTACGGGTTACGCTACGCATACGTCAGACGTCAGACGTCAGACGTCAGACGTCAGACGCGAGACGATAATAAAGTGCAAAATAGTATACTACGGTCGTCGTAGGGTGCTGCTCTGTCTCGCAACTAAGCCTATACCGTTGCCGGCTTCGAGCCACCGCGCTCGTCAAATTGACTCTCGATACAGGTACACGTAAGTGTACGGAGAGAGTCAACGTGTCGCGCGACGGAAGCACCTGCGCACGGCTCGGCGGTTAAGTTACTACTAAGGTGCCTTCAGTCTATCCAATGTCAGTACTATCTTGTATTTGGTGTCGTTAACCGTCCCACTGCAGTCTTACATAGAATTGCATCCCGTTTCGCTTTCGAATTCTCTTCGATCAATTAGTTTCATTCTTCAAAGCATCGTGCGAAAAATACCACATCTTCTTCCTTCTTTTCGTCTATACAGTGCGTACCATTCTTCGTGAATTCGCGTATGCGCCATACATGTGGATTTAACTTTTTTTTTTTTCAATTTGGCTCTCGTGTGTGCATTAATCATTTTTATCTAGGAGGCTTAGCCGTAGCATTGTCCTTTGACTCTCTCTCTCTCTCTCTCTCTCTCTCTCTTTCTCATCCGAGTAGTCCGTTAGGCTTCTTACGCTGCGTAGAAGAAGACACAACAATCCCAGAGGCAGGAAACCTTGAACGATCTAAAGTCAAATTTTTCATGTATAGCGCACAGCGATTCTTTTAAATCTTCCCTTAGCCCTTGCACTCGTACCATCGCGTATCACCCCCCGCAGACCCAGACCCATCAAAAGAGCAAACTCCAAAATATTGTACAGTCTCGCACTCCCTGTCAATTATCTGTCAACGGCTCAACAGCTTAACAGCTTAACAGCTTAAAAACATGGCGAACGGTTGTCGTATTGCATTTACTCAGTCTACGTGGTTCCCTTATATCGTATTTATGTATTTATGTTATACACCTATGTATGTTTGATTTCTTAGTTATTTTTTACCTCAGCTTTAATTAATTCATTTTTAATCCTTTCTCTCTCTCTCTCTCTCTCTCTCTCTCTCTCTCTCTCTCTCTCTCTTCTCTCTATTACATTCGGTTTTCTACAATTCTGATCCTCTCTTTATTTTCTATTTCTTCTGCCGACCATTTCTTGCGGCTTTTCTTCTACTTGTCCCTTTTCGTGTTTTTCGTTTCTTTTTCCTCCCGTGGCAGGTATTATGGTAAATATATCTGTCTTACATTTACAAGTTATAACCCAGCATCATCTTGATTAAACTATATTATAAATCGTACGACGACTCGTGATTGGCTCATATAAATTCTACGTTTGCCACTAGTTATCTCCCTTCCTTATATATATGTTTAATGTGTATACAGAATCCGCGGCCCCCGGGTGCGAATATTTTGTTGTCCCGAACTTATCGTTTATCCGTTCTTTTCTTTCTGCCGATCTTCACGTCCTCCGCGAATGACGCAGATATTCAAATTTTGTGTTTTCCGTCTTATCAACATCATCGTTAACTTCTTTCTAACCTCCTTTCTATCGGGAAATGCGCGTCGGAAGCACTCGCGGTAAAGCTCGTTCATTTTTGTTTGTTTATTTGGGTAAACTTAATGCCCGTTGCGTATATATATTGATTTATATACTTTTTTTTTTTTTGTTAGTCAGTTTGGATGGGTGGGGGAGGGGGCGGGGAGGGAGGAAGAGTAACTCAAGATTTCAAACTCTCAAGTAAGATCGGGATTTTGGAATTGTTTATCTTGACGAAGGTCTCCCCACTCGCTTGCAAGCAGCAAGAATAATTATTCCGGCACGAACATACGAGATAACAAAGAGAAAGAAAGGAATATTTTCGAAAGTCCAATATTAAAAAGTAAAGAAAAATATGTTTGGGAAATTGGCTCTACGTAAACTGTATATCAGTTTGATCTATAATCGATTAATAGGAGGCTACGAAAATCTCGCATTCCGACATCCAATTGTCTCTATTATTTTTAGCCATTCTTTTCCCCTTTCCTTCTCTCGCTGTTCAATCTCTATAGTATTTATTCACGTAATTTTAGCGTTTTTGTTTTACTTGTTCCGTTTAATTGTCGACACAGTAGAACTGGTCCTTTTGCACGAACGGTCATCAGGTACGCGTACATGGCAAACATATAACGTGTAACGTGTACCTACGACGTCTAGCTGCATCCAACCTAGGAAACCTAATCCCCAAACTAGCTCTACTCTGACCTACCGACTATATACCTCCCCGCGCCGATAACCTTCTAGCCTTTCCGAACTTAAATGTCTAACCAACTTTATTACACCACTTCTGTCTCTCTAGCTACCTACTATTATTCACCTAATCTCTTAGCCTATCCTACCTACTTACCTACCTATCTATATTCATCTAGTTGCCTACCTACCAACCAAATTATCTAGTTATACATATACCCATCTGCCGTCTTCTCATCATTCTCTCTCTCTCTCTCTCTCTCTCTCTCTCTCTCTCTCTCTCTCTCTCTCTCTGTAACGTTCAATCAATATCCTTTTCCTCGTACTCTCTCATGTGTCTGTTAATATTTTTCATAATTTCGGATTGCACGCTTTCTTCTCATTCTTCCTCCCTTCTTCTCTACTCAAGAAGAAAAAACATCGAGTTGTCAAATTCCTTAGGCGACGCCTGTGAAACGAAAGGTCACACTTTTTCCATTTCTTGAATGTCAAGCTTTACCATAATTGACGCATCTTTCTCCCCCCCGCCCTCTTCTCATTATTCCGAATCTCTTGCGAATGAGATTGACCTGACTTTGCTGAGCTCTTTATTTTTCTCATAAATTAGCCCTGTATGTCCGATATGTGTAATTGGTGTGTCAGATGATAAAATAAACCCTTGAATCGTATGTGGCATTGCGTTACGTCATTACTCTACGTGACAATTTGATTAAAAACTGAAGATGTTTACGGACGACAACGAAGAAGAAGAAGAAGAAGAAGAAGAATAAACTATTTTGGATAGGAAGGTAGTACGCACACACAAGGCGCAGTTAAGGTTGGAAAGGACAATAACAATTTGCTAAGCTATGTCTGTAAAGTAGAGAGGCATCGGTGGTGTGTGCATCAAGAGACTGGGAGTGTACTGCGTACTGCGTACTGCGTACTGCGTACTGCGTACCGCGTACCGTGTACCGGGGATGAGCCAGAAGACTAGGCACAAAGTACAACAAATAGAATAAATGGAAAAAAAAGAAGAAAAAAACCGGAAACAAGAAGATGAAGATGAAGATGAAGATGAAAAGGAGGTCAGCATATGAATGTATATGCTCTTATGCTCGTATGCTCTAACAGCGGTCTACCGCTGCTGACCCATGCTCGAGCTGCTCAGATTCATGTGCGGCTTTAAACTGTGAATGATCTTAACGTGAGCGACCATATTGTCCTTCCGCGTGAACTCCTTGAAGCACACAGGACAGGGATAGTACTTGACGTTGGGCTTGTGCGAGGTGACGTAGTGCCTACAGAAATTGCTAATGTGTGTGTAAGTCCTGTGGCACACGGTGCACCTATAGACGTCGCCCTCTTTAACGCAAAAGTCGCGCACCGAGCCCTCTGACCTCTCGCTTTCGACCTTGAACGAGCTCTCGAAGTCGCTCTGACTGATTTCCGACTCGGCGACCATGTTAAATATGGCACTACTCAGACGGTCTTTGGACATTTTTTGTTCGGACTCCGGGTCGGAATGCTGATGTTCCTGCTGTTGTTGCTGTTTTTGCTGCTGCTGCTGCTGCTGCTGCAAAAGTGATGCTTCGTTGATTCCGGCTTTGCCGCCTTGTTGCAGCGTCGATGCGCTGTACTCGTTGCGGAAGCAACGCTCGAAGTTTATGCGAATTTGCGTGGGCGAGTGTGACTCGTCGTTGCTCGCGTCTTCGGTGTCTGAAAAAGGAGAGACAACTCGTACCTTTAAAATTCCATAAAGAGTCTAAAGCTAGGCGATAGTCGGTACGTCGCGTGGTTGGAAGAATACAGCGGCGTGTACGCACATTTGCAGGACGCATACCAAATTTGCGTGATAGATGCTACAAGAATAATTTCGAGGCAGAGACCGGAAAGAAAAGGGGAAAATTGATACATGTACATACACCGATCGCGTATCTTTCGTACCACACGCGATTAGAGCTAATTAAAGGTATACGACGTGACGTGCGTTAATCGCGCTAATCGTTAATGTATTGCAATTAATATATTAAATTATTGTAATAAATATATATATAAGTATATTACTTGAATTGTGGGGGGAAGCAAGAGGAAGGGTAGAGCCAGCAAAAAGTAACCGTACTTTTTAACTATGTGACAAGTGTTTTACGTGTCGATATATCAAACCCCATAGTGTATATTCTTATATACTCTCGACCGACATATATATATATATATATATACACACACACACACACATCGCACTCTCTCTCTCTCTCTCTCTCTCTCTCTCTCTCTCTCTCTCTCTCTCTCTCTCTCTCTCTCTTTCTTGCAGGACACTAACCCAATTCAATTTAATATAATTCTTCTAAAATCACATTAATCGAAATGATCGTATCGCCAACAGTATATCTTTTTCATATTTCTTTTCTCATTTCTTCTTTTCTGTTTTTGAATGCAAAGTGCGTGTCCATACGTGTAACGCAGTGCGTGTACGTCTAAACACGCACGAGATATATTTGTAACTTGCGCGTATACGCAATCCACCCAACCATCTACACGCGCGCGCGCGCGAACGCAAAATCTAATCTCTCTTTTCTTTCTACAAATAATCAACATTAGAAAATTCTGTCTCTCGTTCAGATTCGTTCAAAATTGATTACGTGTAAAACGCGTAAAAGATTTCTTGGTCTCTCTTTCATTCTTTTTCGCATTCTCACTGTCCCTCCCATTCCCTCGCCCTCATACTCTCTCTCTCTCTCTCTCTCTCTCTCTCTCTCTCTCTTTTTCTCTCTGTTCAATCGCTAAAAAAAAACGGTCCATCGAGATCGACGATGCTCGAGAAAATTTTGTATAAATATGTATATATACATATATATATATATATATATATTTCTTAGACATTAACACATGAACAATGTATATACATAGATATCAATCGATCGTCTGACAGATAGATTTATTGATATATAAAGATGTCTGCTTATAAGAAAAACGGTTTTAAACGGCTGGCTTCCCTAGTCCTTCGCTTCCCCGCGCAAAGGTAACGTCAAATTCAAAGGTGACTCAAATTCTCAACTCACCTGCGCAAGAGCAAAAGTAACGTGTCACACTTGAACGGACCGAACGAATTCTTCGATCTTCGATCACTTATTTCTATCATTATCAGATTATGCATCTGTATCTGCATACTAATCAGTATGTAACTCTCTGGCATTTCGAGATTGCGCTTATTTGTCTTTTTATATTATTTTCTCAGTCGCTCTTTTCCTCTTTCTTTCTTTCTCTCTCTCTCTCTCTCTCTCTCTCTCTCTCTCTCTCTCTCTCTCTC